TCTTCTTCTTCTCCTTCTTCTTCTTCTTCTTCTTCTTCTTCAGATTGGAGACTATCCAGTTGGACAGAGATCAGGGTTGGATTTCGGTGATACGAAACTGTGGTACTTACCTGATTGGAGACTTGGAGATTGTTGAGGTTGATACTCGGCTGCATCACAGTTGGACACCGGTTACATCTGGACTCGGTTATCTCCGACATTGGTGACCTTTGGTCCTCGACATTTTGATCTTGTTATATGACATTCTGGACTACTATTTCGGAGACCTGCCGGACTCTATCTTGTGACCTATCGGTGTGATCTACCTCCTACCTCCTTCGTCTCTCCTCCCACCTTTCATCTGTGTGTGTGTGTACGGGATCTGGGTATCATCTATGCATGACCCAGACCCCACCATCTCATGATTGTATGTGTGTGGAGTGATCCCATGTAGGTCAGTCTATGTGAGTCAGTCTATGTGAGTCAGTTCGTTATCAGACTTCCGCTGCATAAATGCTCATCCTATATTGGTTGATCTTTGGTTCTGCCCATACTCATTGAAGTATGTAACACCAGGACTATAGACCAGGAGGGAGAGAGAGAAGAAAGCAGACGAGAGAGAGGGGGAGGTGTGAGCTATGGTGACACTTACCTATTGAGCGCTGTTGTTGATGTTCGGCAGCTGGTGCTGATTAGCGCCAGGCCTGGGAACTCATGTTGATTGGAGAAGACTTGTAACTCTGGTTGGCGCTGTACATTTGGACTCACGATGTACTCTCTCTAATCTGGTTTGGTTAATTGAGTTGAAGCTCCTGGTTCTCATTCATCTTCTATTGGGCTTAGTGTGAGACATCGCAATCTGGGAAATCTGTGTGAATGCATGTGATCTGAAGCACTCCAGCAAGTGTTGAACAATCGGGATTCTTGCAGTAGTGGAAATTCATGAGGGACATACCTGCAAATTCAGGAAAAATACAGGCCTAGCACTAACTGAATTTCCTACTTCTACCCTAACTGCGAATAGTAGGCCCGGGCTACCCCTAGGACAGACAGGCCCTAAGGGCCTATGCTGATAGACGGTCCTATAGCCTATAGCCGGGTAAGGTAGAGGCCGAGGGACCGAAACTGAATCGGTACAGGTCAGTCAGTCAGTCTGGTCTAGGTCGAGTCTAGGCTAGTCGTAGTCTTAGATAGAATGGGAACATCGGTTCAGGGCTTTTGGCAGTTGGTACCGAGTACATCGCTGCTGCGGTACGCGTGAACCGGAAGTGGTGACGGCTCAGGGTGGAAGGAGACGGGCACAGCCAGACATTCAGAGCGCCGACCATAGCTGGGACCTGCGCTGTACTCTGCGAGCAGGCAGGGGCTGACAGAGGTCTGGGTTATCGAGGTCTGCTCGAGGCGAGAGAAGTTGGTGCCCTGCTGGACCCTCCTCCGGTGTAGGGTTCCAGGGGCCATAGCTGCAGCTTCTTCCTCAGAGGTCATCTTGTCAGGGTTTGGTGGCGCTGCTGCAGACTTCCATCCGGGAAGTCTTCCGACACTTCGTCATCATCAGGTACTATGGCGTTGGTCTTCTTCTTCATCCTCTGAGTGGCGCTTGGCCTCAGAGGCCTGTTTCAGGGTAGTGCTTCCCTTTGGAGGCTGTATCTGGGTGGCGCTTGATGTTTCAGGGGCTCAGGGGTGTTACGGGCGGTTACTCAGGGTTGGGGAGTTAAGTACTGAGGTTATCCTGACAATTCGAGACTCTGAGTTTAATAAACAGTGTGATATTGGGTTTGGACTATCATCGTTTCATTGTTTTCCTGCATGTGATCTACTCGGCTTTCCTTTATGACTAGTTGTGAGGATTGAGTGGAGTGAATTGCACTTTCAGTGTACCCTGTCATATCGCATGGCCAAGTCTTCCTACAGTTGAGCTACCTGACCGGCATGGGGTTTATCACCCTTGCATGCTCGCTGACGAGTACCATCCGGCCAGCAGCTGTTATTGCATGAGTGCTCGCAGATTTCTGTGATTTTCATGCCAGACAGACCACGCCCGTCTGTTTGTGGCTTATGTCAAACAGACTGACGTGGAGACTGCTCCCTGTCCCTCTCAAATTCAGCAGGTTGTAGACCGCTTCTCATATCTTATGGAGGAGCCTACTGGACTTGTCCATAGGCAGACCAAACATAAGATTGAGATCCTGCCTGGTTCGGTCCCTCCCAAGGGCCGAGTCTACAGGATGTCACCTGCTGAACTTGAAGAGCTCACAGTTAGAGACCTTGACCAGCAAGGGCTGGATCAGGCCCAGCACATATGAGTTTGGGGCACCAGTCCTCTTTGTTCCAAAGGGGAATGGTGATTTCAGAATGTGCGTGGACTATCGTGGTCTCAACAAAATCACGAGGAAGTCTACAAAGCCCCTTCCTCGCATTGATGATCTGTTGGACATGGTGCAGGGTTGTACCATTTTTAGCAAGATCAATCTAAATTCTAGCTATCACCAGATTGAGATGGTTGAAGGTGATGTCCACAAGACAGCCTTCGAAACCAGGTATGGCACATATGAGTACCTGGTCATGCCATTCGGTCTCTGCAACGCCCCAGGCACCTTCCAAACAGAGATACATCGCATACTCAGGCCTTACCTGGACAAGTTCGTAGTTGTCTACCTAGATGAGATCTTCGTATTCAGTCGTTTTGTCCAGGAGCATGAGCAGCATCTAGATCTGGTTCTCCAGGCCTTACGTGATAACTAGTATAAGATCAACAAGGATAAATCCTCTTTTGGGGTTCCCTCTGTAGTCTATCTGCGTCACGTCAGCTCTGGAGAGGGGTTGGCTTCTGAAGCAACAAAACTTGCTGCAGTTCAGGACTGGCCGCGACCTGCTAACATTCGTGATGTCCGGTTATTCTTGGGACTTGCCTCTTATTACAGGAAGTTCATCCAAAACTTCTCTTCTATTGCAGCTCCCTTGACTGATCTCACAAAGAAAGACACTTCCTTTCTTTGGACATCAGAATGTCAGGCGGCTTTCACACGTCTCAAGGAGACCTTGATTCGTGCCCCTGTCTTGAAGTTACCTGACCCTACCCTGCCTTTTGTGCTTACCACTGATGCTAGGCAGTATGGTGTAGGGGCGGTACTTCAACAGGATAATAGGAATGGTCTGCAACCTATCGAGTATATGAGCAAGAAGATCAAAACAAAGCAGTTGCAGGACTCTACCTATGAGAAAGAGCTCTATGTTCTTGTGTCAGCGCTCAAGCATTGGAAGCACTTCCTCCTGGGCAGGCACTTCAAGATCTTCTCAGATCACTTCACCCTGCAGTGGATGAAGTCCCAGGGAGAACTGACTGACAAGCTTGCTCGCTACATCCAGTTCATTGACATCTTTGACTTTGAACGGAGACACAAGAAGGGCTGCTACAACCGAGTAGCAGACGCCCTTTCTCGTAGGCCTAACGCTCTTTTCCTGACCTCCTTTACTCACTCATGTGGAGACAGGACTCGTCAGACCATTGCCCGTTTGCTGCCCCAAAATGAGATTTTTGGGCCTATTGTGAGGAAATGACCATGCCTCTGAACCATGATATACGCTGGTTTCAGATCTGTTGTACACATCCAGCAGAGGTGAGGAACGCTTGTGCATTCCCCAGGACCGCAAGCTGAGAACACTTCTGATGTCAGAGTGTCATGATGCTCGTGGTCACTTTGGTGCCCTCAAATCTTATGCAGCCCTGTCGCAACGCTTCTTCTGGAAGGAGATGAGGAGTGACATGCTGCATTATGTAGAAACCTGTGAGTTATGCCAAAGGAACAAGGTTGTACGTCGACCTCCCCTTGGCCTACTCAAACCACTACCTATCCCTAATGCACCTGCACAGTCAATGTCGATTGATTTTACTGACTTGGGTAGGACCACACCTCGTGGTATGCACCAGGTTATGGTACGTACGGACCGGTTCTCTAAATATACAGAGTTCATCCCCTTACCAACTGAGGCTCGAGTTCCGGTCGTTCAGGCGGCATTCACTGACAGGTGGGTTACACATAATGGACCACCCACCTCTATTGTCAGTGACCGAGATCCTCATTTTTGCAGCAATAAATGGCAATCCTACTGCAGGGATTACCTTCATTCCAGATTGGATATGATATCTGGTCGCCAGTGAACGGGCGGTAATAGTTGGCAAGGCCGAGGAAGGAACGGAGTTGGAGGAGGGTCTTGGGTGGGGGGTACTCGACGAGGGCTGTGACCTTCGAGGGGTCCATACGGATGCCTTCAGCGGAGACAATATGGCTGAGGTATTCGATGCTCGAAGCGGCAAACGTACATTTGCTGAGCTTGGCGTAGAATTTTTGCTCTCGGAGGATCGAGAGGACTTGGCGGAGGTCTTACCCTCTCCACGAACTCACCCGCAAGGACGAACCCTTCCATTGGAACGATCGCCGCCAACACGCTTTCGACTTACTCAAGCAAACCATCACCACGGCCTGTCCTCAAGATTGTCGACCCCACTCGCCATTTCTATGTCACCACTGGCGCCTCCGACTTCGCAATCGGAGCCGTACTGTCTCAACATTTCCCCCGCGACACCGCCGAGACCCCCTCCATCAAGGATTCGCCCACTCACCCCGATGCTCCACCTGGCGATCATTGCCCATCCCAACTCACCGGTGGCAGTCCATCTCCATGGACTTCGTGTGCGGCCTCTCCAAGACCGACCGCGGGCATGATTGCATCTACGTCATTGTTTGTCGCTTGACCAAACGTACCCACTTCGTCGCTTGACCAAACGTGCCCACTTCGTCCCTTGCACGACCTCGCACAATGCCAAAGACGTCGCCACACTCTTCTTCGACCATGTTGCTCGCCATCACGGCCTCCCCGAGAACATCATCAGTGACTGTGATCCTCGCTTCCTCTCACAATTCTGGAAACACCTCTTCACGGCCTACGGAAACACTGCATTCCACCCATAGACCGATGGACAAACAGAGAAGATGAACGATACACTCCACAGAATCCTGCAAAAGTATTGTCATCCACACCAACGCGATTGGGATCAGTTGCTCACAACCGCCGAGATTGCCTACAACAACATCGTCTGCCCTTTCACCGGCATGTCCCCATTCTACCTCGACCTGGGCTACCACCCTCTCTTGCCCTCTGACTTCTTGCTCCCTTTGCAGCTTAACCCATCCACCCCCTGCCCCTCTCTCAATGAATGGGTAACAACAATGAACAGACTCCTGAGAGAAGCCTCCGAAGCCATTGAACGAACCCAAGAACAACAAGCCAACAAGACTAATAAACATAGACGCGACGTATCATTAAAAGTAGGGGACAAAGTCTGGCTCTCCGCCAAACACTTTGAAGCCGAACACGGCTTGTCCAAGAAACTGTCCAACAAATGGTTCGGTCCCTTTCCCATCATTGAACAAACCTCCCCCGTCAACTACAAACTCCAACTTCCCCCTGGCATGAGTCGTGTCCACCCAGTCTTCCATGTCGAGTACCTAAAAGAATACCATGAATCCCTGCTCCAGTTCGCCGACCGCCCATATCCTAGACCTCCACCAATCATGCTACCCACAGGCCCTGAATTCGTTGTCGAAACCATCATCGGYCGACGAACCACTCASGTDTYTGATCATCCGGAACCAATCACTGAATACAAAGTCAAATGGACCGGATACCCCGACGAAGAATCTACATGGGAACCTCTCTCTAATCTTAAGAACGCCATSAAACTTGTCCGCGCCTATGATCGTGCTAATCCTACGTCCTAGATACCTATATAACTATGGCATAAACTCCCGCTAAACCCATGCAACCCTGCTTTACACACACCCTTGAACCCAGTCCACCCTTCCCTTGACCCTCATTCCTGATGTCTAATATGCCCTTGCCCTCGCCTAGCCTTGTCCCATCTGTCCTCTCCACTACCTTGTCTCCTTGTGAACTTGCGTGACGGCGGCGATAAAGGATCTAATGGCAAGCGCATGAGGACGATGGCCTGCTGCCTCACTGTTCATGGATATTATGCAGCTGGTTTGGCCACCATGCTGTTTCATCGGCCGACATCCTGACTCGAGGACGTACTGGAGCAGCAACTTGTGACATGGATCTTTGAGTCAGTCTGCGACTTCCTTGGTTCCAGATCAGACCTCATTGCAGTTCGTGTACAGGACGCACCCTAGCACTTGGACTTCGACACTTGAACTACTACTACGCTTCTTGGACTTCTACCACCTACTCCAAAGACCTGATCAAGACCGCTGCAAGCCCCCTTTCAAGACACTTGGACACTTTGTTCCTACATGAGATTCTGCTCCCGACCCCTTCGGACACACCAGCCCTTGCATCCTGAACAAACATTTTTCATTTTTATTTTTCCTGACTTTGACAACCCTGTMGAACATCATTAKCAGATCSYTGTTTCCCTAACCATTGTTCSYCGTACCCACTARAACATCAATAGACATCCCCTGTTCCCCTGACCATTGTTTCCCTTACCCACTACAACATCAATAGAAATACCCTGTTTTCCTGAACACCGTTTCCCTTCCCTGTTCCCTGAACTTTGTTCCCCCTTAACCTATAGCGAACCATGCAGTCCCCTTAGTTCATCAGTAGGACTACCCTGCTCCCTGTCGTCCCTTTAGTTCATTAGTAGGACTACCCTGTTCCTTGCAACCCCCCCTAGTCCATCAGTAGGACAACTCTGTTCAGCCTATGCCACCCACATTATACCCCTCTCCCCTTTCGACTTGTTAACCAGTGATCGGCCCCGTCCCATCCTTCACAGATTTCAGCATTGCTTCATGATTGGCAGTCGGGACGTTGCCTTCTAGAGGGAGGGGATAGTGTTACGGACACCGCCAGGGCTCGATCCCTAGTCTATCTTTTTGCTGTTTCGGCTGCATCCCGTTTTCGGCCTGGCACCCTTTTTCCAAACCCCTCCTTTGGTACCGTAGGATTTTGGACAAGTGGCGCCATGCTGCAATTCGGGCGCCACTTTCGAATACCGCATTGTTCAGTTCTGCCCTCGGGGCCTTTGCAGAAATGCCCCTGGTACCGTACGTGTCACCGGTACTTATACCAGCTTCCCGTACGGTACGGGGACCAATCTTGTACCAGTTTTCTGCTGTTGTACTCGTACTCAGTGTGACTTGCTGTTTCGGCATTCGGAATCCAAGACTTCGACTTTGTGCCTTGCCACTGTGTCTGCGTCCGACCCTCAGTCCGAGTCAGTCCTGTCGAGTGAGTGAGTGTGTGTGTGTGTGCTCGCACTCTCTCCCTCTCTCTCTCCTCTCCCTCGGCTCACCCTCAGCCTCACGCCCGTCACACTACCCCTCTTTCGCCCGCCTCTCTTCTACTCCGAACTCTACCCTTGACATCCCTTACATTCTTCCCCCTACCACCCCACCCCTCGTCTCCCCCCACCAATTCCTCCACATGTCTCGCCAACACCCTGACTCCACCTACTATTGCCTCGCCATCGACCGCGAGCGTCTTGAGCATTTGATTCCAACGGACCAACCCGACCAAGCCCCCCTATCCGACCCTCGCATCACCTCTCTCTTCTTAGAATCCAAGGACGTCTTCCCCGAGTCCTTGCCTGCCGGCTTGCCACCAGATCGCGGTGTATCTCACACCATCGATCTCGAACCCGGCCATTCTCCTCCTTGTCGCCCTCCGTACCAACTCTTCGCCCCCGAGGCCGAAGAAATGAAGCGCCAACTCAATAAACTCCTTGAAAAAGGATTCATTAAGCCTAGCTCATCCCCCTTCGGAACCAGCTGCCTCCGCGTCAAAAAGGGCGGCACCTCGGAGCTTCGCATGTGCACACACTACCGCACCTTGAACCGCCAGCATGCCGATCTTCCACCTCACTCCTTCCTTGAGTGGGACACCCTGATCACCTCCACCTTCCACCCACAGAGGACAGTTGATGACTACCTCGACCAATTTTGTCAGCTCTGTCAAAACGGACCGACCAACTACTTTGTTATATACGTCCGCTCTCTTCGCCAGTACATCCCGATCGACGTCGTTGGTGACACCACATTCATCTCCCGCGTCAAGCGGGTATGACACAAGGACCTAGCGACAACCCTTGTCCGTGAGCCACCCATGACCCTCGCCGACCTCCTCACTCGTGCCCTCTGAATCGACCACATCTTCTCCCCGTACAAGACCCCACTTACATTGGCCCCTCCCCGCCCTCGCTTCTTCCACAACATCGGAGGCCTCCGAGGACACCACCTCCACCACCTCCTCGGATGAGTTCACCGCCCCCAACCTTGACACCCTCTCCGATCCACTAGACACCACATCACTCTCCTCCGACAAACTCTCTGCCATCCACCTCATGCGGATGGAAAGGAGAGAACGCACCAGCTGTCCTCCCACAACCACCCACCCAGCCCGCCTCAAAAAAGCTCACGCCGGAAGAGCAAACCTACCTTCAGGAGAAGGTTGGTTGTTTCAGATGCTGGCGATTAGGCCATCAACAGACAAGTTGTCCAAATACCACACAGTTCACACTTCAGGCACCAAGGTCCGCGGCCCCCCAACCGGCTACTTCAGCATCCGCCACTCCAGGTCCCTCCTCCACGTCAACACAGTCCCCATGATCACCACGAACCCGCCCCGACATTGACGACTAGTCTGCCGGCCATCCCATCGGTGATGACCTCTATTCCACTGATGGCCCAGTTGGCGTTGACAATTCGTCTGCCCCCCCCCCTCCCCGGTGACGCACTTCCCACCGGACAATCCCCAGGCATCACGTGACGCCACTCCCACTGGGACAGGTTCCTCTACCCTGCTCCCGAGTCCATCCTCCGTCACCTTCTCTGAGGTTGTTGAGGAACAAGCCCGACACGATTGGCTTGTCAGATTAGGCACTGAACAACGCCGCCTCAACGCCATCATCTTCACCACCTACTCATCCCGCTTCCACCTCAAGTTTATAGCCGCCATCCATGGTGATAAGAAGCATAGGTAGGTAGCCTCCACCTCCTCACCACGTAGACGTACTCCCTACTACTAATCTACTAACTTTTGAGTGGGTCTGACTGTTGCTGATTGCTGAATACCTCCTCAAAGTTATATAGATATAGACTTTTTTTTTTTTTTTAACGAGCGAACTGGTTGCTAGTCTCTAGACAAATCGGGTATGTGACAACTTGGACCAGCCCAGCGGCAGCGACACCAAGGTGAGGGAGGATCCAAACACCAAAACAACTCAGCAAGCAATACAGGTCTTATGGGGGAATGCACTTCACTTCAGTGAACGTTCCGTTGAGGAAGCTCCACGGCCACTCAACGCTCCAACGCAGCAGCAACAGGTACGCAATCACCACTCCACAAGCCACTTCTTCTTCAGCCTACCTTTCCCCCCTTCGTCAGACTTCTCCCCACTCAACTCTCTTCCATATCTCCACTTCTCGCCGGCCTGAATCGTTACCAGCGATGTCCAGTGAGTGCAGTGAGCTTCAGCTCCGATACCAGTTTGCAAAGAACCTCTCAGTTCACCACCAATGAGCGCACACAATCGCAAACCATGCACGAATGAGATCACACGAAGTTCACACTGGAGGCCAGAGAAATGAAGACCAGGTAAGCGCAGCTCAGAGTTCCAGCAAATTATCATACAAGCAATTAAGAGTTTCAGTCACAAGCGCTCAACGGCGCAAACCCAAGTATCTAGTATCTCCACTCAGGTATGTAACTCTTCTGAAACACTTCTCTCTTCTCTTTCGGTTTTCTCTCTGTCTACTACCTCTCTGTGCCTTCTCTCCCTACTTGCATGCACTCACACACCTTCTACTACTCAAGGACCAACTTTGAATACATCCACTACTAACTCTACTAACCCCTCTGAAGTCTACTACTAGCACTGGCGCAGCTATGGCTCCCTTCCCTCTTCTAGCCCTGGGCAGCTGTCACTGCTGCCTCTCTCGCTCTCTACTAGCGCAGCTCTCTGGCTCAACGCTCCGCCCCTCACAATAGCGCACAAGTGCACCAACGCTTCCACACTTCATGCGAATGAGCAATCTGCCCAATGAGGAGGCTGGCCAGTCCTTATATTGTCTTGGACTGAGCTTCAGCTCGTGTCAGCCTCTGCTTCTTGGGGCTTGACTTGGTTCCCGTACCACATCCCCACGGTCTGTCTGCTTTCGAATGTCAGGGCCTAGAACCTTCCCGGATTTTTATTGGTGTGCTGCTGCTTGGGCCTTTGAGTCATGACTTTTCGATTATGACACATGGTTTTGACTGTGGACTGTGACTCCTGCCTCTGCGACACGACTCTTGCCTGTGGAAGTGTCCTTTGCTCGTGGGATGTGACTTTCCAACATGACTTTTCATTATGAGACGTGATTTTACCCTTGAGATGTGACTGTTTGCCGGGTGCCTGTTGGACTTGACTGCTAAGGTACCCGACTGTGACTTTTCTGAAACTGACTGACTCGGCCCTTCTTGGCCAGGGCTTCTGACCCTAAAACTCGAATTTGGGGTCTGGATCATGGAAGGCATTTCACTCTCGCCATCCTAATTTCAACGTCCTCCGAGAAAATTACCAATGCAATGACCCGCCAAAAACACAGACTGAGAACACTGCTGATTTCTGGGATTTGCCGCTGGAATGAATGCCTTGCTGAAATTCCCGCATTCTGCTGTGATTTCCATGTCTGTGTGTGTGCGTGCCTGCTGGTTTGCATGCCTGTCTGAGTGCTTGTCGGTTGAGTGTGTGTATGACCCGCAAGGGTACTTGTGTGGCCGTGACTTTAAGGGTTGCAGGGGGGGAAAACACTCAAGTAGCGGGGGTAGGCCCGCAACACTTAGAACAGCGGGGGAAAAACACTCAAGTAGCAGGTAGGCCGGTACCACTCAAGTAGTGGTAGGGGTGTCGGGTACTGGAGGCCGAGCAGAAGACAACAAAAAGTTGGCATTTTTAGAGGCCCAGTAGCGGTAGGATAGCGGTAGGCCAGTACCAGTCCAAGTAGCCCAGGTCTAGGGCCTGTACGGAGGATAGCAGAGCCTGCAATGATGTTTCCCTCCGAAAGGGAGGAGGTACCGGTTGCTGGGAGGCCGCTCGGCCTAGGAAGTCACCGCCCAGGAGGCCGCACAAGGGGGAGGTCGCACAAGGAGGAGGTCGTGCGAGGGGAAGCGGACGTCGCACAAGGGGAAGGAGGTCGGAATAGAGGTGGGAGGAGGTTGTGCGAGGTGGATGAGGATAGGGAAGAGGACGCGTGAGGGGGAGGAGGAGGTCGCACAAGGATTAGGAGGTCGCGCGAGGGGAGGAGGGTCGGAAGAGAGGGAGGAAGTCGCACGGAGGGAGGAGGGGGTCGCGCGAGGGGTAGGAAGAGGTCACACAAGGGAGAGGAGGAGGTCGCACGGAGGTCGCGTAAGGGGGAAGAGGAGATCGGAAGACGGAGTGGGAGGGGGAGGAGCAGTTCGCACAAGGACAAGCAAGAGGTTGCACAAGGGGGAAGAGGAGGTGGCACAAGGGAGAGGAGGAGGTTGGAAAAGGGGGAGGAGCAGGTCGCACGAGGAGGACGAGAGGTTGTAGCGGAGGTCGGAAGGGAGGTTGGAGGAGGTCGCGCGAGTGGTTTGAGGAGGCCGGACGAGGACACATGAGCGAGAGGAGGAGGTGCTGTAAGGAGGAGGAGGAGCTGGATGAGGTTGGAAGAGAGGTGTCAGAAGGTCTCGCGAGGGGGAGGAGGACACAGTGCAAAGGGAAGGAGTGGGTCATGGGAGGGGTAGGAGAAGATCGCATGCTGGGGACGAGAGGTTGCAGAGGTCATGCGGCAGGGGAAGGAGGAGGTCGTGCTAGGGGGAGGATTTCGTACAAGCGGGAGGGGTGAGGGAGGACGAGGACATCCCAATATGGGGAGGAGGTTGCACAAGGGGGCGCGCGCGCACACACGAGCGACCAAGCGAAAGAGAGAGAGAGAGAGAGATGGCATATCTTTCTCCAAATGTCGAGAAGATGCCGTTGGCCTTTTTTGGGGGGGTGGTAATTGGCCAAATACCCCCATATGTTGGGGATATATGTCAAAATGTCCTTGGAAATTGGGCGCTTTTTTTGCATTTGCACCCACAAAAAGTTGGCGACTACCGGGGCACTTTGCAAAGTTGGACGGTATCTGGTGAGGTGCATTGCAAAGATGGGGTCCAACCGATGTATGGGGTGTTTTGCAAAATGTTTTTGGTGTCGTCCTTGACCTCAGCGTGGCTGCGGGGGGTCCACTTGTTGTTTATAATAGTTATAGAATGCGGCCGCACACATGCATCCATGGGACTCGATCAGACTACTAGCTTTGAACTTCTGCAATTTGGCGGTCCCTCCACCTGGCAAAGTGTGTTTGACCACTTTTCGGTCCCAGTCAAACTGGGGCTGTGCCACAGAGAGGTAGTACATACCTAACAACATGTTCATGGGGAATTCGTCACTCACTAGGAACGAGACGCGATGTCTCAATTCCCCTCCCGCGTATGGGAAACAACACTCAACATCCTGGAGGTACTCATTGACTACCATGCACTGTTTGTTGGCACAGGTCGACTCCACATGTCGACTCAGGCGCCGCACTCGCCCCTGTAAACACAGCCTCTCAACGCACGCGCGACTGATAAAGTTTCTAGTCGAGCAAGTGTCATAATAGGCCCCGGCCTTTTGGCCGCCAATGACAACCTCGCTGACGAACATCTCACCCTTCGGGGCTTTGACTAGTGTCGTCCAAGAAGCTAGCGGGTCTGATCTAGACCACTCCTCCTCTAGCTCCTCTAAGGACTCGAACACATTCATCGAACAGAGGCTCGATGGGTCTGAACGTGTTTGTGGGACGACGTTGGAGTCAGTAGCTTGGGCCATCTCTCGAGATGGTGAGGGTGTCTCCACCACCTCAACCGTAGTAGGAACAGCTACTATTCCTACTGGCCCGACGTGTTTCCCGGAGCAGTGCCTGAAGTGCTGGCTACATTGCTACCAACGGGATGGGAGGATCCTACCGCCTGCCCCATCATAGGCGGGATCTTGTCGGTAACCTTCTTGTTACGGCATTTGAACTGATTATGGCCATATTGGCCACAACGAATGCAAGCCTGCCGTGTGTACCGATCTCTCCACACGTCCTCTGAGAGACCCGCCTTCTCCCATGGGGGACCGTTACGGTCTACTTGACTCCTTGACCGGGAGCCTCTGCGGCGTCTACCGGTCGCCTTACCTTTCTAAGCTACGGCAGCGACTACTCCACCCTCTGAAGCTTCTGCGCTGCCAGTCTCTGAACCTACTCTTTCCTGGAAGTGTTTGTCTAATTCGATGGTTGAACCATCGTTATCGACAAACATAATGCGCCCTTTCGCCTTCCAGTTAGGAGGCAGTGTCTTCCTCCTACCATCCGTAGTGGGTGCYTGTCCATGCCCTATCTTCGCCTCAAGGTCTAGGGCCTTCTTGCTAAACGAAGGAAAGTTGTGCATATTGATGTTGGCCTCACCTGCCAACTGGTTCCTGAGAGGCAAAGAGAAGCATCTCAGGTACGAGGTGAGTAAAACCTGGGGGTCATAGCGCACCCCAGGGACACAGATCAGACGCATAACATGATGTCAGGTATGTCTTCCTCCAACCGCCATCCTCCTATGTCAGGTATGTCAAAGGAACAAGAGTTCGACACAGCCTCCCCTTGGATTACTTAGACCGCTGCCTATCCCGTTGGGACCCGGGGACTCCGTGTCTATAGACTTCATGGACACCAAGGTAAAGAGCAGAAACGGTAAGAATCAAGTTATGGTAGTGGTAGACAGATTTAGCAAATTTGCTGTTTTTGTTCCACTCCCTGCAGAAACAAGGAACGATCTGGTGATTAAGGAGTTCCTTAATCATTGGGTAAAGGACTTTGGGCATCCCTTGACTATCGTAAGTGACAGAGATACGCGGTTCACAGGCGAACAATGGCAACAGATGGTGAAAGTATATGGTTCCAAACTGACTATGTCTTCAGGTAGACACCCTGAGACGAATGGACCGAGCAGATGAACAAGTTGCTGCAGCAAATAATGCGTATGTACGTCCGGCCAGATCAGATTGACTGGATGAACATCTGCCAAAAGTTGTCATTGCATACAATGACTCTGTGCATCTAGCTACGTCTAGGACACCTAACGAATTGCATCTTGGATGGCACCCTCGTAGACCCATTGACTGTTTAAACCCTGATCAAGTACAGAGACTTCTGCTAGGGACTAGGGAATTTGCTATTCATTATCAAAAGGACTTAGATGCAATCAGACTCAACTCTGGACTTGCTCACAACATGCACACTTGAGAACCGATGGCAAACCAAGCTCTTCCAACTTAGAAACGACAATGAACTTGTTTTTAAACTCTGTTCAGAACAACTGTACAACTTGCGGCTATTGTCGTCGAACACTGTCTACCACCAGCCTCTCTCTCCCTCACTCTCACATGTATGCATGTACGAGGATCACCCTGAATGTCCCCACTCAGCACAGTGTCACACACTCCAATTTGAACTTTTAGTCTTTTCTGTTTATCTGTACACTCGTCTACACCAACAGCTGGGCGGCTATGGCCGCTGTCGTCTTCCTCCTCCTAGCTATGGCCGCCGGTGTCTCCCTCGCTGGTTCGCTATGGCTGCTGTCTTCTTCACAGCCCACTTCTTCTCCGGGCACCTGCAGACCTCCAGGCACAAGATACCAAGGCAGCTCTTCCGCATGGCTCCCAGGCGAATGAATGAATGGCTGGACGCTGCCTGTTTATTTATACTTCTTCGGAGGTACCCGGACCCTGCCTCCAGACCTGTGGGCCTGGGCCAAAACGTGTGGCCCAGGGAAGCTTCCAGACGTTTGGTCTTCTGGGCCAAAACGTGTGGAACTCTCTGCATGCTCCAAAACCTTCCCCACGTGCAGCCCTTACCCAGGTACATGCTGGCTGGACCCCCCTACAGAACCCTACGGACTTCTAGAACCTACAGACTCTACAGACTTTCGACAGACTCAGTAGAGACTTCTAGAACAGACTCTCTAGGCCTATTGGTAACAGACCTAGCTGCTAATCTACAGACCTAGGGATCAAGTCCTACTGACCAAACTACAGACTAACCTAAGCCGTAGGACAGGTTTGGGGATCGAATCCTACTCAGGTCACGGGGTCTATGTACAGGTACAGGGTAGGTCTAGGGATCGAATCTCACTCAGCACACAGGGTCAATGTACAGGGTTAGGGCACAGGTCTAGGGATCGAATCTATGTGACTGCAGTACCAGGTCAACTGGGTGAAACCGTTTCATAGACAAAGTAAGGAGAATATTGGTAAAGTGCAACACAAAATGGTGGAACAGGTGAATAAACACCGCAGGCTGTCACAATTTGCTGTAGGGGATTTGGTCTGGGTAAGGTCGAAGGAGCTTCTCCCTGAGGAGCACATATCACAGAAATTGTTGCCTGCTTATAGAGGACCATGGTAGATTGTGAATGTAATTGGTGATGTGGATGGTCGTTCGTATGTTGTTGGGATTCCTCCTCACTTGCACATGTATCCGGTTTCCATTCCCCCTGACCTGGATGGTAAGTATTATGTGGATAGGATTGTTGGGGAAGATGTTCACAAATCTCGGTGCAGGGGTAGACAACAGCGACAGTATAAGGTCAGGTTTGCATACCAGGAACCTACAGAAGATCGTTGGTTTACAAGAGAGGAACTAATGGAGACAACACCGCATATTGTGTCCTATTATGAAAGAGCCAAGAGAGGAGTTAACATAATAGACAAATAAAATTGGTGTTACGATCCTGGTCATTTCCCAAGTGCAAATTCACAATGAAAGACAACGCCACCCAATTGCGAAAGAAATGAAAGCACTTGCAAAGAGACAAAGACCAGAGGAGAGGGAAAGAAGAAGAAGAAGAAGAAGTACACCAGCAAGACCAATGACAATTCCCCCTTCTCTTTCCACCTTCCTCCTCCTCCTTCTCTTCACCAATCTTATTCTTCTCTCACTAATAATAATAACAATGAATGGATGAACCAGAATCAATATTCGAAGTTCCCTAATCTCTCTTCCTACCTGCTCCCCCTTGTGCGATCTCGTCCTTCCCCTCTTTTGACCTCCTCGTCCCGCTTGCACAACCTCCTTCTCCCGCTTGCACAACCTCCTCCTCCCACTCGCACAACCTCCTCCTCCCGCTTGCACAACCTCCTCCTCCCACTCTCCGACGGGGCCGAATAGTAGCATGCGAAAAACCACCCAAAAGGCGGGGATTAAAAAAAAAGAAGCGACTCCTCCTCGTGCGACCTGCTCCTCCCCCTCTTCCGACCTCCTACTCTCCCTTGTGCCACCTCCTCCCACTGCTCCTCCTCCTCCTCCTCCCCCTCCCGATCCTCCTCCGCCAAACACCGTGACAAAGATCCCGCCATAGCCCCGCTCCCGCTCGTTCTCCTGCTGCTCCCGCCTCTCCTCCTCCCTCTTCTTCTCCCGCTCTCCCTCCTGCTGCTTCTCCTTCTCCTGCTGCTTCCCCTGCTCTTTCCCCTGTGCCTCCTACTCCTTCTCCCGCTCGTCCTCGTGCTCCTCCCGCTTCTCCTGGTCCACCTATATCTCCTCCTCCTCCTCGACCTCCCGAAGGTTCGTTAACCCCCTCCCAGTTTCCCCTCCTGCTCCTCCTCCCGCTCCTTCTACCGCCCCCCCTGCCGCGCCGCCTCCGCCCCTTCCCCATTTTCCTCGTGCTCCTCCCGCTCCTAACCCCCTCCCCGTTTCCCCTGCCGCTCCTCCTTCTCCAGCTCCTCCTCCCACGGCTCCTCCGCCCCTTCGCATTTCCCGTCCCGCTCCTTCTCCCGCACCTGCTCCCGTTCCTCCCACTCCTTTTCCCGCTCCTTTTCCCATCCCTCCTCCCGTTCCTCCCGCTCCTCCCGCTCCTCGTCTCGCTCCTCGTCTCGCTCCTCGTCTCGCTCCTCCTCCCGCTCCTCCTCCGCCAAACAACGTGACAAAGATCCTACCATAGCCATCTCCTATGAAAAAAACAAAAGAAAAATGGCCCCCCACGTGGCTAGCCGAGAGAGAGAGAGAGAGAGAGAGAGAGAGAGAGAGAGA